GCGAAGCAAACTCATAAATAAAATAGTGATTTTATTATTAAAATAGCGAAGCAAACTCATAAGTAAAATTGTGATTTTATTATTAAAATTGCGAAGCAAACTCGTAAGTAAAATTATGATTTTGTTATTAAAATAGCGAAGCAAGCTTGCGCGTAAAATTATGATTGTACTATAAACTTCCATACAAAATGAAGCATTGTTAATTTTTAGAAATTACAAGTGGGTGATTTCCCAATTCGGTCATCAATCGACCGAATTTAAAACAGGGAGATCTCTCCATTAGTCAACTCTGAAGCTCTATTTTCGTCGAAACAGTCGGCTGTTCGAGGGTTAACCATCGCGTTAAATCCGCGACGGGATTCCGTGTCTCCGCCCGTTTGAACCGTGTAATATCCGCTGAAGCGATCGCGAAACAAAGGGGCAGAAATTTGCGCGGAGGTAGCCTCTCGCGTTTATCGAGGCTTCCAACTTCCGATTGCTGTATACGCAGAGAAGCTTTTCGTTGCTTCTCGGGTCTCGCCGGGTTGACCGGCGAGTGTTGGGTGTCCCGCTGCGCCGGTGCACAGGTAAACGTTGCTGCGTGCGTCGTCGTCGGACGACTTTTCCCGGCAGGTACACGAGCCCCAGCCCGCGGCGAACCGAACCGAACCGAACCGCACCGAACAGAACAGGGCGGCGGAGGGTTGGGTTCGGGCATCGGGGCTCGAAAACTGCGATCTCGACTGGTGGCGTAGAGTCGGGGCGGCGAACCACAGGTAGAGGAGACGGGTGCGAAGGTGAGAGCGCGCGCGTGTCATTCTCCACGCACACGCCCGAGCCTAGTCTGCCGCGAGTCCCGTCGTGTGTGTTCCAGGCGGGAGCGTGTGGGTGCGTGGGTGCCGGTGTAGGTGCGTGCTATCGACCGGGTATCCTTCCGTGCTGGACGCCGGTGTGCCCCACCCTGATGTCGTAGCAAACATAAGCGAGAGAGAATCGGGCGGATAGAGGGGGAGCGCAAGACCGTACACGCGTCCGGGGAAACGACAGAGACGCGAGGCGTGTTGGTTCCGCGCGCGAGCAATCGGAGGAAACGAGAGAAAGAATGGTTGTAGAGAGGGGGGAGAGGACGGGCTTTGGAAAAAAGCGAGACAGGCTGTGGGAAGGAAAACGCGCGAGTGCGACGAGAAAGGATTCCGTGCCGTCGTGAGAGCGAGCGAGGGGGGAGAGGAGAGGTTCGCTAAACGGGGGAAAGTCTAGTGGAAAAGGAGACGAGAGACGGTCGGGGGAGAAGGATGGCGGAATAAGGAGTGAAAGGAAGACGAGAGAGGTCCTGCGCGATGAACAGGGACGGACGGAAAATTGGTGCGAGCGGCAACAGTCGAAGAGAGAAAGAGAGAGATTCGTGGGTCCGGGGTGGGGGGAGAGACGAGCGAGGCGTTCCAGAGGGAGGAAGGGAGCGAGGGAGAGAGAGAGAGAAAGAGAGAGAGATCACGACACGCAGAAATGCCTGCTGCTTAGTGATAGCGTAGAGACTGTAGTGTTCGGATCTGTCTGACGGCGCGCGGACCGTGTTCACGGCGGACGGTTACGATTTCCGGAGGAAAGACGAACGGTCTCGATCCCGTCGCGGGTTTTCTTAATCGATTACATATCGGGGACGCGTGTGACCAAGCTGGGAAAAACTGTTCGCGAACCAGTCCCGAACACGAGGGAACAAAGGGAAAGGTGATCCGCGGAAGAACACGCGAGACCAGTGCCCAGAGCAACGGGAGTTCCAGGATAGGTTCCTAAAGCTCTTAGGGGAAGAGAGAGAGAGAGAGAGAGAAAGTGAGAGAGCGCGAGGAAGGAGGAACAACCACGAGAAACTCAAGGAAGACTGAATCCGCGAATCGAGTTGCATTTTTACTAGGCCCCTTTTTTCGAGATATTTTCCCCGTGATCACCCTCGATCGTCGCTTTTCTAGCTCCTCCGCTGTGCATGACCGGTAAGTAGGCGGGGGAAACCGGACCACGACTCCTGGTCGCACCTAAAATCAACACGGAACGAGCTCGCTCGCGCGCGCGCCACTTTTCAAGGACCGAACACCGGGATTTCGCCGGGATTTTCTCTCGCGAGCTGTCGCGGATATCGCGATATCGATTCGAGAAGTTCCCCGGAACGCGCGACGCGCCGGTTCGCTTTCGTTTTCACCGAGCGGACAGGAAACATCGCCGTATAATAGTACTCGCGCGACATTGATCGCGATTGCCGGTGGTGGCCCGTCCGGCGCCACCTGTTTCCCTCCGCGGATTTTCCGTACGCGGCCCTTGCCGGTCCCTTCGTCCGGCAATCGCCGTTCTTCACGCTCGATCGTTATCGTCGATCGCCACCCCTCGGCGGATCAATTTTTTTCTCGACCTGCCTCCGTGTCGTTTCCGACAATCGACACCGGTCGACCCGGTTGCAATCGAACGCACGCTGCCGCGCGAGAAAATCGATCCTCTTTCTTGTTGTCCTAACGCGATCCGGAAGCTCGTCCCGAGTGCGGCGTGTTTTCGGGAGTCGGGGGAAGGGGCCGCGGGAGAGAGAAAACCGACGATCGGCCATTTTCGAATTTGTCAGCTCTCGTCGACCGGTCCAGCGAACGTACAGCAGCGGATCCTCGCGGCACGCAGACCGGACAATTCGCCGGGGATATTTTGGTGGACCTTTTTTGCCACGGCGCATCGTCGGCGTGAGAGAACACGCCTACAGAGAGGACAGAAGAGTACGCTGCAACGGAGAGCGACAGCGCGAGCGTGTTCTCGGCCGAGAACAATACGCATTTCCTTCTCCGTCCATCTTGATTCGCAAGGACCACGACGCGACCTTCTCCCTTCGCTCCCCGCGGCACTGTTTCCGGTATCGGTGAACTCTGTGTCACGGGCTCGGGTCGAGGGCGGAGAGAAAGGAGAGAAACGGACACGCAATAAAGACAAGCAGTTTATCGGTCGACGGTGAACGCACACGCACGCCGGTGTTCGCGCCCTCGATCCCTCTCTTCGTTTCTCTTCCTCTCTCTCTCTTTCTCTCTCCTCCGCTCTCTCTTTCTCTCTCACTTTCCGTTCATCTCTCTCTGGCGCGCGCGCCAGGGCGTCATCGTCGTCGTCGTCATGGGCGGATGTACATCGAAGGATACCACCTCCAGCGACGAGTACGTATCGGTTGAACGGGACAAGGAACGAGGCGCGAACCGATAAGGGACGGTCGTGGGAATGCCGAAACGGAAACGCGATTTTCGGGCGGGATCAGAAACGATTCTATCGATTTTGCGGCCACCGCGAACCGCGTTGACCACCCACCCCTGGTGTCCGGTCGCATTTTGATTCGAGTCTCGACGAACTGCTAGGTCGAGTCGTGGATAACATCATCAGTTTTCTTTGTCGGACACTTTTGTTTCGTTCAGTTTTTCTTTGTTCTTGTGTTTTCGTTATTTTTTATTCTTTCGTTTCATTTACTTCGAACCGTCTTCCATTCGGCGACTCATAGCGGGTAGATACGGGCAATGGATTGCACCGAGTCGCATCGGAAGCGTTACTCATGACTCGATCTAATATATTTGTAGGCCAGAGCGATACGATTTCATCGAGTACGGTACGCGCGAAACGCGTTTAGATATCGCAGCGAGCAATCGAATGTTTCCCGAAGAACGAGAAAGGTGGACGCGAACACAGCAATCACGGTGCAGTTCGGCTCGCTGTTTGCAGCCTGCGCAACACGGGATTTCGAAGGGATGCGAATTCTAGTCAGCGTCCAGTGATGTAGGCGTGCGATGGGTCGGACGCGATACTGTTGCGTGTGCGTGCGCGAGCGCGCGCGCGCGCTGCGCGCTCCCAAGTGGGTTCCCTGAGTGCTCGAGACACGCTTCAGCTTTCGTGGCTAAACTAGATCGGAGGGCTTCGGGATAACAATACGGAAATTCGAGGGTCTGTCTACGATAATCCCTACGTGTTTGCCAAAAATAACCTCGAATTTTACAAAACTGATTTCGCGTCTTTTCTGCATCGATCCCTTGCCTTTCCATCTCGTCCCGTTGACGATAACAATAGCGCCGAGTTTCGGACATATTTGCAGCGAATTTTTCAAAATTTGTAGCACGCTTTCATAAAACGATTATACATAATTTACTGACTCGTTGTTATTCGAAAGAAGCTGTGGCTTTGTACTGTTATCGTAAAAATGGCTGTTTACCCGTTCATTCGCGAATAAATTTAATGTATTAAACACATTAAACGTATTAAATGTATTAAATTATACTAAATTAAATATATTAAATTATATTAAATTAAATTAGATATATTAAATTATATTAAAATAAATTAGATATATTAAATTATATTAAAATAAATATCAAATTATATTAGATTAAATATATTAAATTATATTAAAATAAATATCAAATTATGTTAGATTAAATATATTAAATTATATTAAATTTAATATCAAATTATATTAGATTAAATATATTAAATTATATTAAATTTAATACATAACATTATATTAAATTAAATATATTAAATTATATTAAATTTAATACATAACATTATACTAAATTAAATATATTAAATTATATTAAATTTAATACATAACGTTATATTAAATTAAATATATTAAATTATATTAAATAAACTAAATAAATTAAATAAATTAAATTAGAAGACAGTACAAAGCAATCGCATTCGAGAATGGAAAAAGCTGGCGACCAGTGACCATTGTTGGGTGAACGGGGCCACCATTCTCGACGACTTTGTTCCTTTGTTCGAGTACACGGTAGATTGTAGAATGTCTACTATATAATACGTGTAGAATATCGAGTGCCGGGCCCTCGAGCCGAACGGCAGAGCGGAAGGCAAGGGGTCTCCGCCGAGTTTACGCTAACCGACCGACCCCTGCGTCGACCGCACAAAAGGGTTAACCCTTCACCCTTGCGTCGGGGCGTGTACAGGAAGCAGGTCACCTGAAAAATTTTATTTGCATTTCGCTCGGCATGTCGAACTACGATCACCGTTGCTGGCGCAGCTTTCAAAAACGTGTTTCGCCGAATAATGATCGCTGGTCCGATTGAGATTACAGTAAATTCTCCCCAATTGACGCTCAGATTGTACAGAAGAATGGACAATTTGGGAAAAAGGGAATACGATTACTCGAGCCTTGCAGCTCGCTTTCATAGCAAACCGATTATCGAAAACTATAAAAACGAGTCGCAAGGCTCGAACGATCGCATCTCCTCTTCCCAAATTGTTCATTTTTGTGCAGAATCTGAGCGTCAATTAGGGAGAATGTACCGTATTCCGTGCAAGATTTCAACGTGCGTGGAATAAGGGCGAGACTGTGTAAAGTAAATAAAGTAAAATAAGAATGAAAATAAGAGCGGAAAGGCGAGTGCACACGCGCGATAGCTTGCGATGGAAATTTGTTAATTTTCGCCGATTCGCTGGCTGCGTTGGACAAGCCAGAATATTTTAGAGATTTAGGCGACGTGCAAATCCGACCAAGGAAGCTTCGACCTCGATCGAAGTTGCTCGAATCGGTGCTCGGTCAATCTATCGTTCGTGTGCTCGCAGAGAGAAATAGAGGAGATCCGGCCGTAACAGTGTCTGTCGCTTGTAAAGAGACGCATAAATCGTCGGGCCGATAATCGGGGCATAAGCGAGGCTTAATCGAGAGACATAATCGCCGCATAATCGTCAACGATGGGCATATGCGAGTCAACGGATGAGGCGACTGTCGAGGACTTGTACGTATTGGCACACGCTGTTGTTCTCTGTGTCTCTCTATCTCTCTCTCTCTCTCTCTCTTTCTCTCTGTTGTTTGTTGAACGTCGATGACCAGGCACCACGAACAGCAAACTCGCTCGAGCTCGGCTTTTCGATCGTTATTTCGAACGATAACGCCGTATTCTTTTGAACAGCGCACAAAAATGAACAATTTGGGAAGAGAAGATACGATTCGTCTCGTTTTTTTATAGTGGTTGACAATCGGTAAGTATAAAAACGAGCTCGAATAATCGTATCTTCTGGCCCCAAATTGACCATTTTCGTGCGCAATCCGAGCGCGAATTAGGGAGAAATTCTGTATTCTGGAGAATCTCGTTCCTCGGAACTTCGTGTCAAAAACTTCTTGAATTGCTCGTTGAATTCTTCTTGGCTTTACGCGCGATCTTCGTTCGAAAGAAATTATCGCATTTGAGATTTTAGCGTTCACCGGTTAATCGTGAAACTATTCATCCTCGATCGTGACTTGTAAATACAGTAAATTCTCCCTAACCGACGCTCAGATTCTACACAAAAATGGACAATTTGGGAAGAGGAGATGCGATTATTTTATTTTCGTAGCTGCCGATTGTCAAGCACTATAAAAACTAGTCGCAAGATTATTTTATTATATTATATATTTTATTTGGTTATATATTCTATTATTCTCTCATTTTATTTCATTATATCTGCTCTTCCCGAATTGTCAATTTTTCTGCACAATCTGAGCGTCAATTAGGGAGACTTTACCGTTGACACGAATCAGAAACGATCTAGAGGCTGTTTCGCGCTTCGAAGCTACACTTCGGGAAACATTGCGCACCGGTTCTTATTTGCTTCCATCGCGTCCATGATCTTTCTGTATCGTCAAGATCATCGGTACCCCGACGAGTGTTCTCGGGAAATACGGTTACGTTCCCTCGACATCCCGCGGTCTACTCGACCGATCGATCTCGAGCTTCGTCGACGAGTCGGGCATTATTCGAACAACATTTCGAATAAATTCGTCGAATAATATTTGATCCCAGAAATATTTCGAACGAAATTTAACCTCGACAATTACATCGAACGAATTCTTCGAACGAAATTTGACTCGAGAATTATAATCGAGCAACGGCGAAAACTCTGGTCGACGAGTCTGGAAAGTTTCGCGAGCGTAACGATGTTCGATCGCAGCGAGAAGATTTCTCGAGCCCTGTGTGCTCGCTGGCCAGAGAAAACTGAGCATGCCCGCTTAGGGGGAAAATTCGGCAACTTGTTCTCGAACAGAAAGTCTCGATCGAGTTTGAGTCGGAGCACTTGCAACTTGTCAGTGTATACGTATCGCCTCAACAAGTGCACCGTCGACCACCGGCGAGAGACACGCCTTCTACTTCTTCGTCGCCTTCACTGATCGCACGACACGTACCGTTCGGAACGGTTCCGAAGGCCAGAGTCCGTTCGGCCAACATGCAATTAGTTCGATAGCCGAAGCGACGACATTCGAGCAACGCGCACCACGCAACGAGAACGGTCAGCCGGGGAATCCAATTCGTTCGCAGTGTTCTCCCCGTTCTGCCGACAAATGGCGGACCCTTGCTCGCCGTTCTGATTTCCACGATAATAACGGAGATCGGCAATTCGTGTCCTACAACGGTGACACTCGATCGTGTCGGTATTGTTTGAAGTTTCGTCACCTTGACATTTCAAAGCCAGTTGTGAATACGTACGGATCCGCAGCCTATCGTTTACAAATGAGTCGGGCACGATACGCTGTCGCGAATTTCTGTACTCGGTATCAAGGATTATTTCATTAACACGTCGAATGCCACGGGGGTCATCGGTGACCGGCACTTAACTCGGCGGTGACGCCTTGGGTGCCACCGGTGACCGGCGCGCCCGAATTGATAGGAATATATATAATTTAAAAGAAATGTCAAATCTAAAATTTTGTATTATTACCATCGTCGATTATATATATATATATATATATATATATTCCTATCAATTTGGGCGCGCCGGTATATATACATATAATTTAAAAGAAATGTCAATATCTAAAATTTTGTATTATTATTACCATCGTCGATTCAAACAGTGACCCCTGTCGCAATTAACATGTCAAACATGGTTATACACTGTGACTTATCTATTGCAGGTAATATTAGGTCTACCGGAATGTTCTGTCCGTTTAAGAAATGAAAGGAAACAATAGATTTTTCATAAATTTAGTAATATTTATTGTACGATATAATTTCCGTCGTTACTTACGATCTCTTGCCAGCGTGATGGCAATTTGTGAGCAACATTGTTCAAAAATATATGTCTCACATGAATCTGTGCATATCTATTGAAACTTGCAATGACAGAACTTTCCGGTAGACCTAATATTTCAACATTATATGTATCGCATGAAAGAAAATTCATCGTGGCGCCACGGACAATTTCTGTAAAACCGGGGCGTGTGGCATTCAACGTGTTAAGAATACAACGGGCACCCGGTAGAGTGCTCTTCGCGATTGAACGATTCTTGCTTTTGCTGCCTCTATCGATCGTTTTGGCGCCAAGTTCAAACCTTTCTCGAATAACGAATAACGTGCTTCCGTACGCGAAGCACGCGTTTCCGAGGGCCCGTTTGCCGCCTGTTGCTGCCTTTGCCATTACCGTTGCCGTTGCCGTTGCTGGTCTCCCGTCAGGAATCAATCGATCATCGCGACCAGACCGCTCGCGATGCTCCCCTGTAAGCTTTTAAACGTTCTCCGCGCCTCGAACGAAGCCCTAACACGATCTTTGGCCCGTCGTACCGTTCGATTGCCGCTCAGACTGATTCAAACGTGAGTAACAACATTCGAATCGCTCGTTATTTGCGGCAACGTTATCTTGTTCTCGATCGCCCGTTTAGATTACACGCGTCTTATCAAGCGTACCCTTTTATTTAACAAATTATCAGTGTTAAATTATTATTATTATTTTTGCGCGTCGTAAAAAGCAGACGTTATCGTCACTTCGGTGTCGCTCGTGAGCCGCGGCTGTTTTGGTTTCGATTACATAATTCCAATTGATCGTATCTTTTCTTTTTTTTTTATCGCGCCGCGAGACTTATCGTTTCGAGTTTTAAGGGAACGGCTAAGAGATATCCGGATCGCGGCTGACGTCGATAATATGGGTCATGAAATTTGTGAAAGTGTGAGATGCACCGACGATATTAATTGAAACTCGATAACGTATCGATCAATTGTCGTCGATAATGGATCGATAAGCACGCGAGCAAACAACGGCCGAAGACAAGGATCTCTCGCGATCGAGAGAGATTCGAACGAGCACCTCTCGGACAGAGACCGTCGCGTTCATCGACACGCCCGACTGTGTACCGACACCTTGACACAACGAGTTGCGTCATTAAGCACCTTTTTGTTCCCCGTGGAAACCGCGTGATTCCACTACCAGCTATCCTCCTTGTTCTTTGTTTGCCTCGCGGGAAATCCGAGACCGCGGGTGCAACGATTCGAGAGTACGGTATATCACCTCGCTCAACGGATCAGCCGGAGCGCCGCGAGAAGTCTCCCGTTGTTGTCAAGATGTTAGGCACCCTTCTTTTAACCCTTTCGGTACGAGCGCGTTGTCCGCCGTGACACTCCCACTGTACGGGGTCTGTCTCTTATACACATCTAGATGTGTATAAGAGACAGGCCTTCCAAGGATCGCCCGCATCTGACGCGTGTGGAAACTACAAACTCTGTCTCTTATACACATCTCGTTAAGCGCGCGCAGTCTTCAGCATTCGGGGCCAAGTCTTTTGCTTCAAAAACGTTGGATTAATATGACCAGATTTGTTACAATTGATCGTAGTTTTTGGTAGATGATAGCGTCTGCGAACAGAGGAATGCGAGGCGATAGCCCTTGTTTTAACTTTTGGCTCCATTGTTGTGACCGGTGACTATAGTCACCCGTCGCTGTCTCTTATACACATCTAGATGTGTATAAGAGACAGGCCTTCCAAGGATCGCCCGCATCTGACGCGTGTGGAAACTACAAACTCTGTCTCTTATACACATCTCGTTAAGCGCGCGCAGTCTTCAGCATTCGGGGCCAAGTCTTTTGCTTCAAAAACGTTGGATTAATATGACCAGATTTGTTACAATTGATCGTAGTTTTTGGTAGATGATAGCGTCTGCGAACAGAGGAATGCGAGGCGATAGCCCTTGTTTTAACTTTTGGCTCCATTGTTGTGACCGGTGACTATAGTCACCCGTCGCTGTCTCTTATACACATCTAGATGTGTATAAGAGACAGGCCTTCCAAGGATCGCCCGCATCTGACGCGTGTGGAAACTACAAACTCTGTCTCTTATACACATCTCGTTAAGCGCGCGCAGTCTTCAGCATTCGGGGCCAAGTCTTTTGCTTCAAAAACGTTGGATTAATATGACCAGATTTGTTACAATTGATCGTAGTTTTTGGTAGATGATAGCGTCTGCGAACAGAGGAATGCGAGGCGATAGCCCTTGTTTTAACTTTTGGCTCCATTGTTGTGACCGGTGACTATAGTCACCCGTCGCTGTCTCTTATACACATCTAGATGTGTATAAGAGACAGGCCTTCCAAGGATCGCCCGCATCTGACGCGTGTGGAAACTACAAACTCTGTCTCTTATACACATCTCGTTAAGCGCGCGCAGTCTTCAGCATTCGGGGCCAAGTCTTTTGCTTCAAAAACGTTGGATTAATATGACCAGATTTGTTACAATTGATCGTAGTTTTTGGTAGATGATAGCGTCTGCGAACAGAGGAATGCGAGGCGATAGCCCTTGTTTTAACTTTTGGCTCCATTGTTGTGACCGGTGACTATAGTCACCCGTCGCTGTCTCTTATACACATCTAGATGTGTATAAGAGACAGGCCTTCCAAGGATCGCCCGCATCTGACGCGTGTGGAAACTACAAACTCTGTCTCTTATACACATCTCGTTAAGCGCGCGCAGTCTTCAGCATTCGGGGCCAAGTCTTTTGCTTCAAAAACGTTGGATTAATATGACCAGATTTGTTACAATTGATCGTAGTTTTTGGTAGATGATAGCGTCTGCGAACAGAGGAATGCGAGGCGATAGCCCTTGTTTTAACTTTTGGCTCCATTGTTGTGACCGGTGACTATAGTCACCCGTCGCTGTCTCTTATACACATCTAGATGTGTATAAGAGACAGGCCTTCCAAGGATCGCCCGCATCTGACGCGTGTGGAAACTACAAACTCTGTCTCTTATACACATCTCGTTAAGCGCGCGCAGTCTTCAGCATTCGGGGCCAAGTCTTTTGCTTCAAAAACGTTGGATTAATATGACCAGATTTGTTACAATTGATCGTAGTTTTTGGTAGATGATAGCGTCTGCGAACAGAGGAATGCGAGGCGATAGCCCTTGTTTTAACTTTTGGCTCCATTGTTGTGACCGGTGACTATAGTCACCCGTCGCTGTCTCTTATACACATCTAGATGTGTATAAGAGACAGGCCTTCCAAGGATCGCCCGCATCTGACGCGTGTGGAAACTACAAACTCTGTCTCTTATACACATCTCGTTAAGCGCGCGCAGTCTTCAGCATTCGGGGCCAAGTCTTTTGCTTCAAAAACGTTGGATTAATATGACCAGATTTGTTACAATTGATCGTAGTTTTTGGTAGATGATAGCGTCTGCGAACAGAGGAATGCGAGGCGATAGCCCTTGTTTTAACTTTTGGCTCCATTGTTGTGACCGGTGACTATAGTCACCCGTCGCTGTCTCTTATACACATCTAGATGTGTATAAGAGACAGGCCTTCCAAGGATCGCCCGCATCTGACGCGTGTGGAAACTACAAACTCTGTCTCTTATACACATCTCGTTAAGCGCGCGCAGTCTTCAGCATTCGGGGCCAAGTCTTTTGCTTCAAAAACGTTGGATTAATATGACCAGATTTGTTACAATTGATCGTAGTTTTTGGTAGATGATAGCGTCTGCGAACAGAGGAATGCGAGGCGATAGCCCTTGTTTTAACTTTTGGCTCCATTGTTGTGACCGGTGACTATAGTCACCCGTCGCTGTCTCTTATACACATCTAGATGTGTATAAGAGACAGGCCTTCCAAGGATCGCCCGCATCTGACGCGTGTGGAAACTACAAACTCTGTCTCTTATACACATCTCGTTAAGCGCGCGCAGTCTTCAGCATTCGGGGCCAAGTCTTTTGCTTCAAAAACGTTGGATTAATATGACCAGATTTGTTACAATTGATCGTAGTTTTTGGTAGATGATAGCGTCTGCGAACAGAGGAATGCGAGGCGATAGCCCTTGTTTTAACTTTTGGCTCCATTGTTGTGACCGGTGACTATAGTCACCCGTCGCTGTCTCTTATACACATCTAGATGTGTATAAGAGACAGGCCTTCCAAGGATCGCCCGCATCTGACGCGTGTGGAAACTACAAACTCTGTCTCTTATACACATCTAGATGTGTATAAGAGACAGGATGTATTCGGCACTCGTCCATATTGGTCATCAGATGGATGCCGGATTTATCCGGTGCTCGTACCGAAAGGGTTAAGAACAATTTCGAGACTGTCGAAGATCGCGATCTTCGCCAACGGGGGTGGAAAGCGCCGCCGTTGAACGAGGTGTCGCCGTGCTTCTGTAACCGTTGACGGAAGCTTCCTTCAGTATCTATTCTTTCCCTCCTTCTCTTCCACTTCCGTTTGAAGGTCGTACCGACTGATCGAACCGGCGGCAATTGTTGATTGCAGCAAGAAAAACAGCAACATGGTGGACCAGGCAGTTCTGGACAAGCTCGAGGCTGGCTTCAACAAGCTGTCCAGCACGGAGAGCAAGTCGCTGCTGAAGAAGTATCTGACGAAGGAGATCTTCGATCAGCTGAAAACAAGGAAGACCACGTTGGGCGCCACCCTTCTCGATGTGATCCAGTCCGGTATCGAGAACCCCGACTCCGGCGTCGGAATCTACGCTCCCGATGCCGAATCCTACACGGTATTCGCCGATCTGTTCGACCCCATCATCGAGGACTACCACGGTGGCTTCAAGAAGTCCGACAAGCACCCGCCGAAAGATTTCGGTGATGTCGACACTCTTGGAAACTTGGACCCGGCTGTTAGTATCTCGATATCAGCGTTTAGAAAATATCTTCAATACTTATATCTTCAATAAAATAGCTTCGTTTTTAAATAGTAAACACTGTCCGATGGATAACCATTGAAATGATTATTTTTATCGATACAGGGCGAGTTTGTAGTTTCCACACGCGTCAGATGCGGGCGATCCTTGGAAGGCTATCCGTTCAACCCCTGCTTGAACGAAGCTCAGTACAAGGAGATGGAGGAGAAGGTCTCCACCACTCTGTCCGGCCTGGAAGGCGAGCTCAAGGGAACTTTCTACCCTCTGACCGGCATGAGCAAAGAGGTCCAGCAGAAGCTGATCGACGACCACTTCCTCTTCAAGGAGGGCGACCGATTCTTGCAGGCTGCTAACGCCTGCCGCTACTGGCCCACCGGCCGTGGCATTTTCCACAACGACGCCAAGACTTTCTTGGTCTGGTGTAACGAAGAGGATCATCTGCGTATCATTTCCATGCAGATGGGTGGTGATCTTGGACAGGTAAACGTGTTATCTTAGATACACCGAAGGTTTTAGACTTTGACGACCCCGCGGTGTCGCAAACTTCTCTTATTGTTTGCTAGTTTGAACGGGTGTCGTACCTGAAAACTGATGTCTCGTGTAACAATAACAAGAAAACCTAAACATAATATAGTCGGTGCGATCATTCCGAAAAGCGCGGTTCCAAGATTCTTTAGAACAAGCTGTCAAAGTAATCTGTACACGCGGTGGAATTATTTTGGACGGATGCTCCGCATAGAAATTGAAGGACTTTGGAAAGCGCGCGGGCCCCGTAATCCAGTCGACTACATGAAGCGCGATTCGTTGTTTCAGGTCTACCGGCGTCTGGTGACCGCCGTCAACGACATCGAGAAACGACTTCCGTTCTCCCACAACGATCGTCTAGGTTTCTTGACTTTCTGCCCGACAAACTTGGGCACCACCGTGCGCGCCTCTGTGCACATCAAGGTGCCCAAGCTGGCCGCGAACAAAGAGAAACTCGAAGAGGTCGCGTCGAAGTTCAATCTTCAGGTCCGCGGCACCCGTGGAGAGCACACCGAAGCGGAGGGCGGCATTTATGACATTTCCAACAAGCGGCGTCTCGGTCTGACCGAGTACCAGGCTGTGAAGGAGATGCACGACGGCATCGCCGAGCTGATCAAGATCGAGAAGGAGCTCTAAAAATCCCGCGCCGGACGTTAAATAACCGACACCGCGATCACTTTACCCCCCCCCCCCTGTTTTCCCTTTAGAAGTTCTTGACTCATCGGGGATCGACCTTGCTCTCGCTCGCTTCTCGAGCCAATCAACGGTAAAAGAGCCTACTTCTAGACACATTCACGACAGAGAAACGATTCGTCTAGTTCGGAAGATCGACGGCGCGAAGGCTACGCGTTTCCCTGTTGACGCGAGCTCATTCGAAAGGATTTGATATTTTGTTCGATCCAAGGAAAAAGAAAAGATTCGTTATCCCGAGTGGGATATTATTTTGTAATCCACGTCTGTGCGTAGAACACGGTGTAGAGAGACAGTTTCTCCCTTTTAATTTCGTAGATCGGCTTTCGGTCCTCGATGCGTTAAGACCTAATGCAGCTACAAGCGGGTCCTTAGAGTTCCAGGGGAAACGACGGAAGCCTCGTTTACGTCGAAAAGAATTTCAAAGTGTCTGGACTCCTCCCCCGTGGCGAACGATCGTTTCCTCGTCCATCTGCTCGGTCTTTGCCCCTCCACACGCGTTATGATTATTATTACTACTGCTACTGCTATCATTATCATTATTATTATTCTATAATTATTATTATAATATAATTATTAATTATTATTATTGTTATTATTATTATTATCATTATTATTATTATTATTATGATAACTATTATTGTCTCTTATGTTGACTCAAGTTCCTTTTTACAGATACAAAAGAAAACTGAAAATAACCGGCAGCGTAAGAACAATTACAAGAACAGCTTATTGTTGCATTACACGCGAATACAATCGCGCATTCTATGTTTGACAGTATTTTTATTTCGTTTCACCCCATTTTTTTCTTCCGAGGATATGTAATCCAGCATGTAGAGAAATACACGCAGTATTCTTTCATTTCTCTGTTATATTGTGCTCGCTTCAACCAATTTCCTTGAACCTTTCGTAAATCGTCGACGTCGCGAAAGGTCATTTTATCTGCACCCCTGGATGTTGTGATTGTCTTTACTCGAAGAAAGTTGAAACTACGGATGGATGCTGTGACGGGTGTACGTGAGATTCGCGTTCGACCAACGACTCGAACGCGTGGCGGCGGTCGCGTTCGATTTTTGTACGTTTTACCGGAAGCCCGTTCGTTCGATTCCCCTCTTCTTTCTCTCCTTGTCATAACGAAGCCATCCGGCTCTCGTGGAAACGCGTCGAGCAGTTTCTTACGAGTCACAGACAACAGAATTTGTACCGATGACGAAAGGAGACGGTTGTCGACAAACAAATTAACGGTGTAAACAGCCCGCAAAAATACATCAATGAGAGAATCGATCCCACTTCTAAAATCTATTACGAAATCTAAACCAAATGTCACGACCGCGAAGATCTTTCGATTTGCAAGTGCCAACTCGTTTACAGATTAAGTTCAACGCGACGGACAACGCGAACATCCAACGAACTACGATGTCCACGCATTGTCGAAAGTATGTTACGCGCACGTCCCTTTTCCCTTTTATTTCTCATTTTCTACAAAAACCAACAACATCTGCGACGGATTGTAACACGTTGAAGTGTTGCGGCTAAGGGCTGTTACAGCTTCGCTGTCAGATGTACGAAAAGATGAGTTTCAGACACAAATAAAAAAACATACATGCTAGAAGACCTTCCTTTTATTACATCCTGTCCTATAGTCCTCTTCTTATGTCTGACTGTTTTAACAACGTACTCTCTAAAAGATATCTTTCACTGGTGAATACGGTCATGCCTGTGTAATCCGAATGAGACCATTAATTACAGTTATCAAAGGTCAAATTTGTTGGCATTTTACGAGACATCGGACTTTGAACAGTATGAGGCTTAAGTCTAAGTGTGAAACTTAAACTTCTTAATAGCTCAAATGTAGTAAAACTAAACACATTACAGCAAGAAATGGCTCAAAAATACAAAATTGAAACTTCTGACGAAAAATGGTACTTTTGAATCAACTTTGCAAATTATAGATAACAGTTTCGTATTTTTGTGCCATTCATTTTTTGTTGAGGAATTTAAGTTTCGAACTTTTGAGCAACTTTCTGCTTCGGAGGATTCTAATTTTCTACTTTCGAGCAATTTTTTGTAGGGGACTACGTTTATTTTATACTTTTGTGCAATTTTTTACTTTGACATGGGAAAAGTACTTCATGAGTGTAAATTGTAAATTAAAGGATGGGATTATAGGCGAAGAATTTTGAGAAGTCGTGATAAATTCAAACGATTAATTCTGTATCTATACTTTACAAAGTGCAATCTATTTTGCATTAAAGTAATATTATAATAAATTCTTAGTGTATCCTTTGCGGAAACCCTAAATTGACTGATTTCTAAAGTTTTGAACTTTTGAACAACTTTCTGCTTCGGAGGATTCTGATTTTCTACTTTCAAGCAATTTCTTGTAGGGGACAACGTTTATTTTGTACTTTTGTGCAATTTTTTACTTTGACATAGGAAAAGTACTTCATGAGTGTAAATTGTAAATTGAAGGATGGGATTATAGGCGAAGAATTTTGAGAAGTCGTGATAAATACAAACGATTAATTCTGTATCTATACATTACAAAGTGCAATCTATTTTGCATTAAGGTAACATTATAATAAATTCTTACTGTATTCTTTGCGGAAACCCTAAATTGACTGATTTCTGAAGTGCCTTCGTATAGACCAGCGATCGATGTTGGGGAAGCTTTTTCCATTCGGTCAGAGAAATCTATTATCTGTACATCATCGAGATCGATGCATAACGAATAATTGAATTCATGTTTTTCAAGTTCAAGTATATTCATAATGCTTTTTAAATTCAAGTTGTGTACACTGTGTAGTAGTAATGGATCAAATCCATGGTGATAACCGACTTCCGACTTAGAGTGGCGTCACTGGTGGTGAAACGCTGAAACCGTTAGTAAAAACTTATCGACAGCGCATTATTTGAGTTTATCTTACCCCGGCAATAATTTTTAGCTAACAGTTTCATCGTCGTCACAGTCGTCTCTCAATTTAACAGCTTTTTCTTCTCCCAATTTAAGAAACTTCAGTAATACTAGTCGTATATTCTCGTATAATAATAGTATAATAGTCGTATAATACTCTCGTATATTCTTCTGATACAATTAGCAAGTAGTTCAAGTCAATGGAAAGTCAGACGTCAAAATTCTTCACTGGCATGAAAGGGAAAGGAATGCGTAAGATTTTAAAATCATTTTATAATAATGAAGCCGGTGTTTGATGTGGCTCACCCTACGCGAGTAATTATTGCCTACAAACACATACATTCGAGACATATCTCAGTGTGCATTGAGCATCGTTCGCAAATTTGCTGGCAAATGTTGTCGAGAATCCGACGAGGCGAAAAGTACAAGTCGAATATCGCGCCTCAGATGCGCGAAAAGAGTGAACCGCAAGCACGATAAATTGAGAGCACTACAAGCACTACATTAGTTGCGGTATAACTCGTTTCGCATGCGGTTGCGCTGTCGTGCCGTCTTGCTCACTCGCTGCGAATCGTCAGCCAATCAGAGCACAGCAATTCGCTGCATTCTCTCAATTCAAGAACCTCATTGCCCCCGCATATGGTTCTTGAATTGAGTGGACTGTACATGTAGAATAACGCTACCTATTGTTCTTCGTACAACTTGAAGTTGGTTGTGAAAAGAAGAAACATGGCGGACAACGATGTCAACGGTGATTCCGATGAGGTTCAGCAGGAGAAATCACAGAAAAAGGCTGCGAAATATGATAGCGGAGCGGCGGATTTGGAAAAAGTTACAGATTACGCGGAGGAGAAAGAAATATCTTCCTCTGATGGATTTTCTTGCGTGAGTGTCTTACAATTCATTATTGTTCCACGTGTTTACGTTTGTCAACAATTTTGTCTTGTTTCGTTTCTTAACGACTGAGATTTTCACTATTAAAAGACATATTCTGCCTCTTGTTTTTTTTTTGACAGCACGTTTTAATAAATTTAATATTCACAGCTGTATATATTCAAAAGAATAGGCAACAAAACCTAACCTATAATTTGTATACATTTGTTTTCTAATCTTTAACAATGCCACAAACAATATAAATGCTAAGAACATATGATAACATTAAAAATTCGTCGTGTTAAATCGTTTCGTAAGAATTCAGTTTGCTTTACAAGATTTGAATATGAACGATTGCAACCTGACTGTTAACATTGTTTTCGTGCGCATTGTAACTTGCATTTCTTTTTATACAGGCGTTGAGCTTGATCGGAGACCAAAGAAGTAAGGAAGCAGCGGAGAAGAAGGCCAGAGAAAAGGAATTACTAAAAGTTCCTATTAAAAAGGAAGATGTTGATCTCATTGTAAGGTCAAGGTTATTAAAGTTTATACGTAGTATACCTGTTTATAAAAATTGGTCTAATCCTGTTTCAGATAAAAGAGATGGAAATCAGTAGGAGTACCGCGGAGCACACACTCAGAGAACACAGAGGAAACATTGTGGAAGCATTGATTACGTTAACAAACTGACTGTACAGTACCAGCTCTAAGAGAACGAATTACACAAACTCCAATTCCATTGTNAAGCCGGTGTTTGATGTGGCTCACCCTACGCGAGTAATTATTGCCTACAAACACATACATTCGAGACATATCTCAGTGTGCATTGAGCATCGTTCGCAAATTTGCTGGCAAATGTTGTCGAGAATCCGACGAGGCGAAAAGTACAAGTCGAATATCGCGCCTCAGATGCGCGAAAAGAGTGAACCGCAAGCACGATAAATTGAGAGCACTACAAGCACTACATTAGTTGCGGTATAACTCGTTTCGCATGCGGTTGCGCTGTCGTGCCGTCTTGCTCACTCGCTGCGAATCGTCAGCCAATCAGAGCACAGCAATTCGCTGCATTCTCTCAATTCAAGAACCTCATTGCCCCCGCATATGGTTCTTGAATTGAGTGGACTGTACATGTAGAATAACGCTACCTATTGTTCTTCGTACAACTTGAAGTTGGTTGTGAAAAGAAGAAACATGGCGGACAACGATGTCAACGGTGATTCCGATGAGGTTCAGCAGGAGAAATCACAGAAAAAGGCTGCGAAATATGATAGCGGAGCGGCGGATTTGGAAAAAGTTACAGATTACGCGGAGGAGAAAGAAATATCTTCCTCTGATGGATTTTCTTGCGTGAGTGTCTTACAATTCATTATTGTTCCACGTGTTTACGTTTGTCAACAATTTTGTCTTGTTTCGTTTCTTAACGACTGAGATTTTCACTATTAAAAGACATATTCTGCCTCTTGTTTTTTTTTTGACAGCACGTTTTAATAAATTTAATATTCACAGCTGTATATATTCAAAAGAATAGGCAACAAAACCTAACCTATAATTTGTATACATTTGTTTTCTAATCTTTAACAATGCCACAAACAATATAAATGCTAAGAACATATGATAACATTAAAAATTCGTCGTGTTAAATCGTTTCGTAAGAATTCAGTTTGCTTTACAAGATTTGAATATGAACGATTGCAACCTGACTGTTAACATTGTTTTCGTGCGCATTGTAACTTGCATTTCTTTTTATACAGGCGTTGAGCTTGATCGGAGACCAAAGAAGTAAGGAAGCAGCGGAGAAGAAGGCCAGAGAAAAGGAATTACTAAAAGTTCCTATTAAAAAGGAAGATGTTGATCTCATTGTAAGGTCAAGGTTATTAAAGTTTATACGTAGTATACCTGTTTATAAAAATTGGTCTAATCCTGTTTCAGATAAAAGAGATGGAAATCAGTAGGAGTACCGCGGAGCACACACTCAGAGAACACAGAGGAAACATTGTGGAAGCATTGATTACGTTAACAAACTGACTGTACAGTACCAGCTCTAAGAGAACGAATTACACAAACTCCAATTCCATTGTAAATTATGTGGTCTTAGGAATTGTTATGACTTTGGACTATTAATATTTATTCGTACATATTATAAAATATATTCTAAGCGATTCTGTACATTCTGCTATTAATATCTCTCTCGATACCCGTGAACGAGATCTCTTATCGGAACGGAGCTTTACCGATGTACGTATTGAAGAGAATTTTCAATATAATGAAAAAATACTTGTACCACTGATTAAGCGCGTTATCAGGGAGTTTCCTGTTGATAAGATTGTTACTTTTATATGGTCGAGAAGTCCAGAATATTTTTTAGTATTAAACCTCATGTTTGACTGGTTGCGGACGATGTTCTCGGAAATTCTGATCGAAACGTAGTGAAAGATTTCAAGAATTGTTCGAATTGTTATCTTAAACGCGTTCTTTGGTGCAGACTTGATTTTTGAGTGCAACAACTATGTGTATATTTCGATGAGTAATCGATTTCGATGCGATAAAAATCTAAATAATATCATAGTAATGACGATATTATTTCACGCGATCATATGAATTTTTAGTTTGCGAAGACGAACCATTTTTCGAACTATGCGACATGGACACTGTGGATGATCTGATCAATTACTCAGGTATGTATTTCGTCCACGTGCGATGTTTAAAACGGAATGTTAAACCAATGCCTGGTTATCCTTAGTAGAAATGAACGATTCGATACCTGCATTTTCAAGTACTTTTCCGTACGCTGAACAAGCTGCGTACAATTCGCTGACAACAAAGACCTATGAAAAGCGCAGCGGCCCCAACAAAGGTGAGCTCAAAATCACAGACTAATTTAAAAAAAAATCATAAGATTAAGTTCGTTTCTACTTCTCCTTTCTATGGCTTACGAATTTTCCTTCCGCTGTCCGTGTAAACTCGATTGAACTCTTCATTGGTAAGTCTACTTTTTCTTCCGCATATAAATGATGCAACCGACTAACTCTGTTTTTTTTCCGTTGCAGGAACAAAAAGATATTAATGTGATAACAGCGACGCAAATTATCGTTTTACTGCTGTTTGCATGTGGTATTATTTTTGCCCTACTAATGTATTGCAAAACGTGCAGCAGGTAGGAACGAATGTCTTTCTTGACTATCGGTCTCGTCTCGCTAACGTATCTGAAATCAAGATCTATACTCGAACTTTGGAAATTAGAGCCGGAAGATCCAAAGTTCCGCGTTGATAATATTTAAGCGATATCGATTTGGTTATTAAGTATTTGCAGGTCGGCTCAAGTGAGATACATGGAACAAAGTCGATGCAGTAATGGGAATAATCAAACAGACAGCGATTCTTTGTATTGCTGCACAATAAACGATTCCAGGGAGAGACCACCGTCATATACCGAGTCTTGCAATGCCCCACCCCTCTATGGGTCACCCTATAACAGAGTAAGTTAGTTCTCTGTTTCCCATGTTGGCTGTCCCAAGTAATTTATTTCGAACAGGCAACCTACAGAATGAATGCAATACGGTGTAAATCTTTATTATGAGACAATTAACTGTTCGAAAAAGTCTAATTTTGTATTTGGAGACGTGGCACCAAGATATACGTTACGTTTTCTAGGCGTCTATGCTCGAACCACCACCAGTCTACCCGGACACTCCTAAATTATCAGATAGGGGGCAAAGCCAAGGCTTCACAATTACTTATCACATGTAATTATGTGTAATGTGTACGCTGGTGTTGACGAACTGTTGTGTAATGTAAGATGAAAAGCAACGATGCGCTATCAAACTCGCACAATATCATTTCACTTCATTTTCTCTTGATTAGACCACGTGAATAGTTTTATCATACGTCAGCTGTGATTTAATCTTAGAAAAGTTTAGAAATTCTAGAGATGATTTTTTTCAGTAGTATTAAGTTTCTGAATTAGTGTGCATTTATTAAACGAGGATTTCTACCATGCAACATTTGAAATTTGCCGCGGTTTCTTCAAGGGTCCGTACAGCGTCAATACACGTAGCGGTAGAACGCCTAAACTGGTAAACAAATTGCTAACTGTACGTAATTTTTCGATACATCAGATGGCGTCACTGTGTAGTTCCAAAAATGTATTTACTCTGTTGGTACGTTTGTCGACCAGTTTGATCGTTTTGCCACTGCATGTGTAACGCTATTTTGATGTTTTGATATTTTCAGGAGCAAATTTTACCGCAATTTTTGCGGAGCTTTATGGACAAGTCGACAAGAATCATCTGTAGTTTCACTTTGAACAGAATAAATAAACTTTTCCTGTATGGTATGGATGCACAAAATTCTGCTGAACATTCCTCTGGCCTCGAAAACATTTTTCGGACTTTTATAAATTACCAGATTTTATCTCGTTTTCAGTGTATAAATTTTGCTAACCAAAATGGTTCAATATGGACAGATATAGAGGCATCCAAAAAATAATAATTAGTCATAATCGCGGCAATCTAAGGCGTAGGATCAACGTACTGGTTCGTTATTAACAATTTGAAATGTAGAATGTTAAGTTTCATTGTTTATTTAACGAGTTATTTAATTTCTGAAAAATGTCCGTCAACAGGTATCGAAACATCATCACGTAGCGCTAGTGCATGAACTAAATCTCTCCAATATGCACAACGCAGGGTCATTGAAAAACACTAATTATGGGGCACTATTAAGGTATAAGTAATTAACCGAGTGCTCACGATTCTTCGCGAGAATTTGTTGCACCGGTATTATGTAGAAAAAGCTGACGACAACATCGCAAAACATAATTAAATAACATAATAATTAAAAAAGCTTCAATGAACAATTAGTTATGTATAGTAGTATTGTTTTCTGGATTTTCTATACGATATCGTTGCAGTAGATTCTCCCGCGCGAACAATCCCGTACTTTTGACATATCTTTTTATGTCCTAATTTTGGCATAATTAATGTTTTATTGTGACTGTATTGTACGTATGTATAACAGAAATTTAGTTCAGCCGTCTGCCGCTATGTGGTGATAGTGTATTACGGTCTATGAACGGGCTATATTTTAAAAAATTTTTAGTGATCTACGGTATGAAATCGACAAGCAACATTACCACGAATGTATTAAAATGCAGTTATCGTTTTAGTCGAAATGTAAATAAAGCGTGCACAAGATCCCAGATGATTTGTACAGGTATTTCTAATAGCGCTAGAAATTTAAGTTTGATAACTGTGAATGAAAGTTCTATGTTGATATTTGTCTCGTTGTTATTTCTTTCACTCTCTCCCTTTTTCTTTGTCGCTTCTCTCTCTCTCTCTCTTTGTTTTCGCAGCAACAACACACAAGTGTCAGGGATAATGAAAAATCACTGTAAAAGTTCTCATGATTATATAATGAAAATGTCATTTATTTGATGTGGTGCAATGACTTAAAGTAAATGGAAAAATGAACGTTTGTATGAGCTGGGTTCGATGATAACAGCGGTGCCGTGTACAACCTCGGCGAGCTACCACTGCTGAACTATTCGTTACAAAAAAAGCTTTCTTCGGGTTTAAATGCAATATACAACGGAAGTGTGTATCAGACAGCAACGCAGTAGTAGCTGGCACGACACGGACACGCTGATTTTCCATGATGAGGTAACACTTGTCTTAATTGTACTTAGTTTATCAAATTATCCAGTCATACGCTTATGCAGATTGGTTCGAAGAATTGCATCTAATGTTTTTTTTTTGTTTGTTGTTCACCTCTCCCCTCCCCTCTTTCTCTCTTCCTTTCTTTCTTTGTCGAACTGTAGTACGGATAAATATTAGTCTTGTTCTTTTTTTCTACGTTTTCCCTCTCTCTCTCTCTCTCTTTCTCTCTCTCTCTTCCTTAGGAAAAAGACATTCAACATTACGAGCTTTGTTTTTCTGAGATATTTCGCCGCACAGTCCCAAAGATAGAATGGGTAGAATTGGACGTAGATTTCGTTCATTATCGATAATCGTTTCTTTCGCATTCTTTCTCTCACACACACAGACGCACACTCTTTCTCACATACACGCACATTAACATGCTCTCTCTCTCTCTCTCTCTCTCTCTCCCTCTTTCCCTGTATCCATCATCTACCTTTCATTCTTTCCACGAAATGTTAAAATCTGAGCGAGCACGGCCAAAATCTGTTCCTTAAACCGCTTATACAATTTTTAATTTCTCGTTACTTCTTTTTTTCCGTTTTTCTTTTTAAATCGCGTTCATACTTCATCATCTTACTTTTTCTTTTTTTTGCCATTTTGTAGTTTCATTTCAAGCTCTAACAATCTACGGACTCGAAATAAACATCGTGTAAAAAACGGTGGAAAAACGTTCCCTAACTATGTTTCCCATAGGATCTTTTTTGTCGTTTCATTATTTCACTCGATCTTTCTTTGAGCCTCGACAATCGGAATTCTGGTGCGCGCGCGCGCGTCTTCGACCGAAATTTGGGATTTGGGATACGCATTCGTGCACGCACGCGTCGAGGCTCAAAGATGAACACGCAAAAAGTATGTTCTAATCCGTATTTTAATTTGTCGACAATGTACATGTTACATAGTTTACTTAAAGCATTCGCTAGTGTTTCAAGGAACATGAGTTTAGCACAGTCTGTAAAATAGAAATAAATTATAGTTGGTTATTGTACCCTTCATAAAAGTATGTGGTTCCGTTTTTTCGGTTTTGTTCGGTTCTTATAAAATACAGTTTAGATATGTACAGAGTAAAAATCTTAAAATCGAAAGGGACGCTAGATTTGGGACTGTCCGGATTGTAGCGACCGTTTCTTAAAAAAGATTTCAAATATTTCTTTGCTTCATCGAAATTTTTTGAATCCTTTTCCGCTGGCTGCCAGGATCGTCAGAAGTTCTCGAAACTGTGTGTATATTTGTGTGCCTGTGTGTCTACCTGTGTCTGACCTGTGTGTCTCTGTGTGTTTGTAGGTATGTCTATGCGTGTCTATTTGTTTGTCCTGTCTGTCCGTCTGTCTGTCCCGCTTGAGTATACGTGTACATACCAGAGTATGAGTGTGACGTGTTCACGTGTACATGTACGTGTGTACGTGTGAGCGATTACAATTGCGGTAATTACAGTGGTCTTATCACAGAACATGTATGGCATTAAATCGTCGATATCATTACTTCTCAGTAATAATATAATGGTATATATTCCATATTTAAAACGTTCGGTAAAGCTAGGTCGGAGGATCAGGAAGCCAGTACGGTACTAAATGATGATTATTCGTTTCTGCTTTTCACGGTTGCCCATAATTCAGATCATTGACCACACACGAATTCACAATTCAATAATTAATTACATAAAAAACGATTAATATTTCGTGCTATATAATTGACTAACTTTTATTTTACATTTTTTTTCTCTCTCTCTCTTTCTCTCTCTCTCTCTCTCTCTCTCTCTCAATCTCTTTCGCTCCCTCTCACTCTCTCGGTTTGATTTTTCTTTCTCTCGTGTCCCGTGTATTTCACACAATTTTTACTGCAGACAAGTATCTAGTTTCACGAAAGTAATCGACTATCGTCGATTATACTTGTTCGTGTTAACATTTCGTCCAATTCAATATACGTTTTAATCCTGCGCACAAGTTCGATAGATATTTTGACAATAAATCAACTTAAAATTCGATAAATTATGGACAACCCTAGATTTAATACATTTGATAATAATAATAATAATAATTAATAATAATAATCATAATAATAATAGTAATAATAATAATTCGAATCTATCACTTCAGCTACTATGCAATACTCGAGAAAACAAAACAAACTGTGCCTAGTGATCATCGGGAGAAGGGAGGAAATAAAGGCCACGACGGAATATCCGTCTGTACATTCTGCCATCCGTTGGAATAGCCGGTCTTTGGACAATTGTTAAAATAATCTTTGACGGATTCTTCACTATACTCGCAACAAATTTTTACAAACAAGAATTTTTTTTTACTTTTCCTACATGTCAGATAAAAGTCTTGTACCGTCAAGTTACACGAGAATAATCCGTTGCAATATAATATTATACCACGGTTTATTTCAGGAGAAGTATTATTCTATTTTAGCATTTGTCGATACCTAGTAATCCGAAAAAATTTATCCCACGACGAATGCGATTAGGATTTAATTTACGTTGTCACGGTAGATAGAAATTCTACGCAAATAAATAAGGAAACCAAACGAGTGTATTTATCAGGAAAAGCTAACAGTACACAGATTCCAGCATCGACATTAGATGAAAAAATATACAAAAATATGGAGGTGGGGGCGCGGGAGGGACGTGTGTTTCTGGGGCATAAGGGGTGGGGCACAGATTGTGTAGCGTTAATAGTAATCATAGTAGTAGTCGTACATGTTTGAGAGAAAGAGATCATAAAAAACCCTAACTAGAATAATTTTTTTCTCCGTTCTGGAAGAGTTTCACGTTCATATCTGTCTCTTGCGTTCGTCTCCGTTAAACTAAAAATCACTACCGGTAATAAACATAGCATATATCTAAACGTTCTCCTCATTCGTTGCGTCAACGACATGCGTGGGACATCGTTCGATGCATTCTTCCCTTTTCATCGTCGTCTCGTTTCGTTTACTTCTTTTTCCTCTTCTTCTTCAACAAAGGAACAAAATGTTTAATCGCTTGGCCGACGTCTATCACAACCTCCTTCTCGTGCATACTGTGTATTGGTCTCTGTACGTGCATCTGTGTGTCCGTGTGGGAACGCGCGCATACACTCGTGGATATACTTGTCTCTCACGAATGATAGCAATTTTGGCCAATTTCAATCCCGCGTTGGTCTCTGTTCCTCTGGATCTCTCTCTCTCTCTCTCTCTCTCTCTCTCTCTCTCTCTCTCTCTCTCTCTCTCTCTCTCTCTCTCTCTCTCTCTCTCTCTCTCTCTCTCTCTCTCTCTCTCTCTCTCTCTCTCTCTCTCTCTCTCTCTCTCTCTCTCTCTCTCTCTCTCTCTCTCTCTCTCTCTCTCTCTCTCTCGTTGCGGCTGCTTCCACGGATACCTCGGTTGGTAGGAACGAAAACAGATCCACATTAGAGAGACCTTATAGGGTGCGCATCGACGGACCGCTGGCATTAGAGTAAGCTACTCGATGCTGACGATGGACGATGTATGATGACTGGTGAACAATGAATAATGAATAATAAACGACGACCCAAGACTAACCGCACGTGGTTTTCTGGCGCGCAACGTGAAAAAGAGTATCGTGTGACTGTCCCAGACGGTATCGGTTCGTCCGAACCCTTCCAGAGGATGGATCTGTCGCCGTTGATTATACTCAACTTCCGGCTTCTCTTTTTTGTTTTTGTCACACGCAAGTGCTGCCAGTCTCTCGCGACTCGTTCTCCTTCTCGTCTCGTTCCCCACAACTTTGCACTTCGGTTGTGTGTGATAGACACGGCTTTCTCTTCAACGTCGACGATATACCGAATCACAACAAGGTCTTTCTGCCTCTGTCTCTCTCTCTCTCCGTCTCTCTCTCTCTCTTCCTCTGTCTATTGGTCCGGCTAGCGCGGGTTGCCTGGCGCGTGGCACGCGAAAAGCAAGACAGTCTCTCCTCCTCATCGCACGGTTCCTTTCGCAGTGGACCAGAGGATGTCGCACTAGGAAACATTTATTTAGAACACTACTTTGTATCACTGTACAGAAAAAAAGTTTCTCATGAGGGATGCAGAATAGGCGGGGGCGATGTGGAGGTCGTGCCCGGTGTCAACGGTGACTGTTTTCAGCTTTGTTTGACTCGCTTCCTAGGCGGACCGATCGGCGGAATCTGTTGGGTGGCGAGTGCTCGAAACGCCTCCGCTATCAGGTGTGGATGCGAGTTCACCATCGATTTAAAACCAGCCGTATCCATCACGTCTGTCGCGTGTCTGAAAAAAGAAACGAACAGTTCCAGTTTAACGCGCCGTCGTTTCTCGCCAACGATTTACATCGCAGACTTCAAATTTCACGCGTCACCCTCGCAACGATGAAGGTTCTTTAGTCGAACCCTGTCGGTGTCTTTTTAAAAAAAGTTGCCGAAAGCCGGGTTCGCAGCTCGCCGGAAAGAACGAACAACCACTTACGTGTTAATGAAGTCTATGGCTTGCGCCTTCAGTTGATCGGCGCTATGAAGATCGGCTAGAATGAGGATGTCGGCCGCGTTCTCGATGGCTAAACTCGTGCAAAGAGCTTCCTCGCACATTACCTTCAGCCTCTCCAGCGCGTACTTGTCCGCCGCCGCCAGCAAATCGTCCGCCATCTTCTCCAGATTCGCCGCCTTTCCCGTATAAATGAACCGCAGCATCTCGCGCAATACCTCGTGGTCCACATCGGTGATGTCGACGCGATTCTGCTTCCTCTCCTCCATCTCGTGCTCGAACATCGCCGAGAACACTGGACTTCGAGCTAGACGAGAAACAGGATCAACGGCGGATTAGCGACAACTGAACGACCACTTTCTCCCTTGGGGTAATATTTGCGAACCCGTTGTTTCACCGATTCCTGGATAAGGGCAGAAAAACGGTTGGGTAACCATGATCCACGACTATGTAATAAAATTGTACAGGGGTTCAGAATACTGTAATTGCCAGGTCGGTTGTCGAATTGGTCGCGTACTGGAATATTATAATATAGTGTTATCCAAATTAAGTGTCACATCTTTCAACAAATGGCACTGCCAAACGGTTTGATTGTTTTATTTGCACAAGGCATCATTAATCATAAACAAATCATTATGGAACGCTACGCTATGCAGCAACGTGTACGGATTGTTGAAAATCATTATAATCATTCAATGGACGCCTGATTTCTCGAGGTGGAGAAAAATCAATTAGATTGTTTCCTATGGGGTTTTTTTGAAAAGTAAAGTTTCCGTCGATAAATCACAGTAGATTGACGAGATAGAAAACAATATTACAGCCGCCGTTAATGAAACAGAACCGCGTTGAACGACGATTTTGTTCCACGATTAATGTTATGCAAATAAAGAAATTCGAAATAGCTCAAACAACTAGTGTTTTATTTCTGTATAAAGACGCGACACCCGATTTCGATAACCCTATAGAAACATTGTTGCCAGTTACCTGCGAGTATAGCTTTGTGCGCCTGAAACTCTCTCCCGCAGACCGTCAGCGTGACGTCGCTGAATTTTTGGTTTTCAAAGAGGAGGCCGAGGTCGTCGGGCAACCGGCACTCCGGCACCTTGAATTGAATAGTGTTGCTCTGACCGGAAATGTTGACGCTGTCTGCCACCACGCTGACCTGCGAACGCGATCACGTCCCGTCGTTAATTCGACAAAAGGCCCACGACGTTACGGAACAAGGGCGAGTATTAAACAATTAACATACAAAGGTATATACCTCACAGAATATCGTGAGTTTGTCGTCGGGCAGGAGACCGTTGGCCTCGTCCAGCAGGAAGTCTCTCCTAATAAACTTCTTGAAGCCCCAATCTTTACCTTGGACGAACCTGTATGCGCGCTGGCTCTCTGAAACCCATCGAACGTCGATCGATTAATTATACGTTGATAAATTTCGGGGTCTTCGGGGATGCAAAACGTCTTAGAAAAGAAAAACAATTGCACGGCCGCCGTCGGCGACGGCACGGAAATCGTTAATGGTAGTCAGAGCCTGGGAAAAATAGATTTTTGAAATAATAGATAGACTAGAAATATGTTTATCTTCTCGTGTAATACAGAATTCGGCGAATAAACTTTTTTTGTAATATTAGTTACATACAAATATTACGTAGTTAAATATATTATATTATATATATATATAATATATATAATAATAATATATATATAATAATATATATATAATAATAATATATATATAATAATATATATAATATATAATATCTATAATAATAATAATNACTCCGGCACCTTGAATTGAATAGTGTTGCTCTGACCGGAAATGTTGACGCTGTCTGCCACCACGCTGACCTGCGAACGCGATCACGTCCCGTCGTTAATTCGACAAAAGGCCCACGACGTTACGGAACAAGGGCGAGTATTAAACAATTAACATACAAAGGTATATACCTCACAGAATATCGTGAGTTTGTCGTCGGGCAGGAGACCGTTGGCCTCGTCCAGCAGGAAGTCTCTCCTAATAAACTTCTTGAAGCCCCAATCTTTACCTTGGACGAACCTGTATGCGCGCTGGCTCTCTGAAACCCATCGAACGTCGATCGATTAATTATACGTTGATAAATTTCGGGGTCTTCGGGGATGCAAAACGTCTTAGAAAAGAAAAACAATTGCACGGCCGCCGTCGGCGACGGCACGGAAATCGTTAATGGTAGTCAGAGCCTGGGAAAAATAGATTTTTGAAATAATAGATAGACTAGAAATATGTTTATCTTCTCGTGTAATACAGAATTCGGCGAATAAACTTTTTTTGTAATATTAGTTACATACAAATATTACGTAGTTAAATATATTATATTATATATATATATAATATATATAATAATAATATATATATAATAATATATATATAATAATAACTATATAGTTATTATTATTAATATATTTTATTATATATAATTATATTATTATTATATAATATATTTATTTATTATTATATATTATATTATAAAATAATTATTATATTATATATATTATATATAATATAATATTAATAATAAATTAATAATATATAATATAATATATATATGCTATTTCCGTATGAAACTACTATTTCAAAGAAAAAAGTTTATTTAGCAGAATCCCATAGGGAAGATAACAATATTGACTGTCTATTTACTGTTTCAAAAATCAATTTTAACCCAGCACTAATGCTAGTTTTTCGAGACGAGCAGAAGTGTCAGGACACGTTTCAGCAAATACGACTTACCCATTGCTTTGGTTTCCTCTCTTTTGGCATTAAGGATAGAAAATTTGAACTTTGCTCTGACTTCTGATTTGTTGCACGAGACGAGAAGGAGGTACAGGGACAGGTAGTCTTTGCTCTCCTCGTCCAGACCCTTAGGATTCACTCTTAGGCACCTGGAAATCAATTATCGTCCATGTTAAATTCATGGCAGGTCGTCGGTCGCCGGAACTCTGATATCTTCGAGGATCGATCAAAGTTCGCGACAAGGGCTCCCGAACAGTATTGATTTCTACTAGAGACGCGGAGACGGTCGTCTAATTTTCATTCAATTATGTTACAGATTGCGTTCAATTATAACGATAAATAAAGTTACTTTTCTTAAAAGAATTTATCAATAATTTAGTTCCCGACAAAACAGAAGAAAAAGGAAAAGTATAAGTTTTCAAGAGCTCGCAAAGCTTCGGATTCGAGTTTCGCGAATCTAAAAATCGTCCCATCTCTAGATTTTACGATTAGCCCTCGGACGGCGGACTATTTTTATAACTATACTATTCGCGATGTTCGCAAAAATTCTGAGCTTCGTTCAGCAATTTTTCCGAACATATTTTTTAAGACATTTCTTGCAGTCTTAATTAGCCATTCCGTCGTTCTTTAACGTGACGGCAATTTATTTGATTTAATCGCCGATAATTGAGCAATCAAGTGAACGATTTAGCTCTTTGGGGCACGGTGGGGTTACAAATGTCCCATCTTTTTGATGCACGGTAATGCATAGTGGGACTATTCGAGTCCCATCCTATAACAACAAATTGAATTGAATTATTATTATCTTAGGTTTTCATATTATGCGATTCTCCTTTGCTAATAAAAAAAAAATATATATATATTATTAGCAAAGGAATCGCATAATATGAAAACCTAAGATAATAATAATTCAATTCAATTATTATTAATATATATAATATATAAATAATATATAATTATATTATTTTATTATATAATATATAATTAATATATATTAATAATATAATTAATTATATATTATAGATATATCTATAATATATCTATAATATATATATAATATATCTATAATACATATATATATATAATATATCTATAATACATATATATATAAAATATCAACATAAAACGCAATGAAATTTCTCTGCAACACGGGTCGACTGTATTTCCCGAAATCCTGTGCCCCAAAGATTTAAATACTCTGGGTCAAAGTTGTCCCAGCCACCGCATGGGTCACGGTTCGCGAGGGTCAACCTGTTAACCGAGTACAATAAATTCTCCCTAATCGACCCTCGGCTCGCGGCTTGTTTTCACAGTTACCGATTGTCAACGGCCAATAAAATCGAGCCTCCCCTTCCCAACTTCTCCATTTTCGTTACCAAGCTGCGGCTCAATTAGGGAGAATCAGCCGTACGCGTTCGTTCGAGCCGAATCCGAACAGCCGCGCAAACGTGAAATCGTTCCGACCGGAGGTCGTCCTTACCATTTTAGTTTGTCGTTGGCCCCCGCCGAGAAGGTGGACGACTTCAGCACCTCTCCCATCTCCTCCCGGCAGAAGCTGAAGTTATTTATCGTCCACATGTAGCTGAACTTCACCACCTTCACCTGTGCACACAAGACCTTCAAATGCGACATACGTCAGAATGCGTCCCGTTGGAAGCCTAGCATTGGTGTTTGATCTACGCGCTAACAAGTATTATTACCGGGACACCTCCGCGGATCCCGACGCGACGGCGATCATCTCATCGCGAAGACAAGAACCGGCGTCAGCTTCGCGGAGCGAGCTCGTATTCGCGGGCGGCGGAGGTCGGACGATCGATTCGTTGTTAACACGTTCCCTGCCAGACCGTTTTTTGAAGACTTTCCGTTCAAGCCGCGTGGGGCGTATGCGCCCCACGCTTTACATTTGTATTATTTTGTTTCTGGCGTATGCTTTACAATAATTAAAATAGTGCAAAAATCATAATTATCAAGGAAAGGTTGTATAGTTTAACATGCGTAACACAGCAAACCAATAAATTTATTTTTCTAGGAATTACTTTAACAAATACCTGGCTGATCATTATTATGCCAAGCGAGTTGCATCCTCACATATAATTTTTTTTATCATGCCTATATTAGTTTAAAATATAACATTTTAGTTAAATTCAAGTTTGTATGCGATTACAAAGGGATGTTACGATGAACTTTGTTAAAACATGGCAAACATAAGTGTGGTTTATCCACACAACTATCGCAGAATGTTACAACTTTTACAGTACTATAGAACTATAAATCAATCCCAGCTTCAGTGAAGCAGTAAGTATTGTGTCAACGACACGCGAATAAATGACTGATCGGAATAAGAGAAATGCAGTTAAAACGAGTTACAGTAAAGAAAAATTGCCCATCACGCCGCGTGGGGCGTATACGCCCCACGATTAAATGAGGGCATCAGCAATAGTATTAAGATGTCCATAATTGACTGCATAATGAATTTTTAAAAAATTCTTCATTTTAGAATGATAATACCAAATGGCTTGAATGGAAAGTTCACACGGCAGGGAACGTGTTAACGCGCAGCCAAATGTCGCGATGAAAAGAACAAAATGCCTCGGCATTATTTCATCGGAATCGTGCGCGATCGACGAACGACGGTTAACCGTGTCGCGTCGTTCGACGAATGCCGATATCCCCGGCGCGGGTATATTTGTCGGCTGGCTTTGTCACGAGAGCGAATACAAAGGGAATAAAAAAGAAAAAGAAAAGGAACGCGAACGAAAACGAAACAGGTAAAAGGGAAAGAAGAGGCGCGCGCGAGACGGGAAGAGAAAGGCGAGGCAGCGGGCAGAGAGAAGAAGTTCGTTTCGAGAGGAACGTTCGAAGGTTCCTGCCGACTAAATTGATCGCGGCCTTGAAGTCGAGCAGACGAGCAGCGAAGAACTACAAGTACCGAGAGAGCACGTGTTAGGCCGTGCAACGAAGAGACCGAGAGGAAGAACGAGAGAGAGAGAGAGAGAGAGAGAGAGAGAAAGAGAGAGAGAGAGAGAGTAAGAGAGGCAAAGAGATCGGAAAGAGAGAGAAAGAGAACCAGGGTCGAGTCGAACTTGTGTCTCTCTTACGTAATTACCTTGAAAAACGCGCAGAAAAGGGATTGAAACTTTGCGGAGCCGCGCTTCCGTTCTTCTCTGCTCTTTTCTACATCGCGTCTGCCGCGATCGTTATCCGTGCAACGTCCAAGCCACGGAGAAAGAGGATACACAGTTCCGGAAGCAAAGAAATTCTGCGCTCGTTAAAAAGTTTCGCGAGGTTCGATCCCCGCGGGCCCTTCGCCACTCTTCGACGACGACCCGACGGTATCCGTTCGCCGAAATTTTGTCCGAAAAGCGACGCGTTTCTCACGGCGAGCTTCGCAAAGTTGATATCCGCGGTTCGTGTCAGCGTTCGTGCCGCGTCAGCAACGAGATAGAGGTAACCGAGGACGAGGACGCGGAGGAGAAGGAGGAAGAAGAAGACGAAGAAGCCGAGGTCGAGCCCCTCGGGAGTCAACGATCCCTGACGTCACGCGTGTGCCGCGACCTTGGCGAACGAAGCCGTGCCCGCAGCCAAATCTCTATTTGTCTAGTTCGCCTGCCATCCGACGGAAACGGGCCCCCCCCCCTTTTATCGTCGATCTATGTATGGATCACGCCGTGACCATTCCCCACGCCGTGTATGTATACTCTCCATTAGGCGCAGGATCCCCGATCGATCGATCGATCGATCGATCGATAATCGCTGTAAAAGTTCGTTCGCGAGATACGCGCGTGAATCGTGTCGCGTAGATCGTAACAATCGCTACGTGGTAACTTAATCTCGTTCGATTTATCGCAACGACACGACCGTGACCGGAGCTGGGTAAAATGGTATTTTAAACGGCGAATATAGCGAGCAGATATCTTATTTTAGATTACGTATGTGTATCTTTGGAAATAAAATGTCTTGTTTATTGGGAAGTATGGATGTTTTTAAAAATATAATATTTTATTTGTTCGAAAGCGTGATGTTTTTAAAAATAAAATATTTTATTTGTTCGGAAGAATGTTTAAGATAATATTTTAAATTGTATTCTACACGAAGAACGCCGCAGTTTGGAATATTTTGTTCATTTCATTTATCGTCGTCGAATCGAATATTTTGATTTTACTAAATTACGGTGTAAAATGTCATTATTTTGGTAATCTAATACGAAGTATTATTTTCTTGTGCATTAGAAATATATATTCAATATAGTTCTTCAACGAATACTTTTGAAGATAATATGTTTCACTCACAAATGTTATGATTTTCTTACGGTATCTCGTTTCACGTTACGTTAAATATTTTCACGGTTTATTAAAAAATTTTTAACCATTTGCACTCGAGCGGTGACTCAGAGGTATCATTAAAATTTGTTGTATCGTGTTCTAAGATAATTTCTATGTTAACAAAGTTTAGGTTTAAAATATTGTTAAAAGTGTAACTGTTGTGCGAGTCACGAGACACAATTTCGTATGCATAAAATGCACTTTGTTATGGAAAATGAAAATACTATATGTCAGAAAGATTATTTCAGATTTACGGTTAAAATAGCTTCGAGTGCAAAGTGCTAATATATACATATACACACACATACGAGCCGTTTATTTTGAAAGTGGCATAAGTCACTTTGTTTTCGAGNATATTATTAAAATAATATTTAGCAATATTATTAAAGTAATATTTAGCAATATTATCAAATTAATATTTAGTAATACTATTAAATTAATATTTAGTAATATTATTAAAATAATATTTAGCAATATTATTAAAGTAATATTTAGCAATATTATTAAAGTAATATTTAGCAATATTATTAAATTAATATTTAGTAATATTATTAAAATAATATTTAGCAATATTATTAAAGTAATATTTAGCAATATTATCAAATTAATATTTAGTAATACTATTAAATTAATATTTAGTAATATTATTAAAATAATATTTAGCAATATTATTAAAATAATATTTAGCAATATTATTAAATTAATATTTAGTAATACTATTAAATTAATATTTAGTAATACTATTAAATTAATATTTGTAATGCTATTAAATTAATATTTAGTAATATTATTAAATTAACATTTAGTAATATTATTAAATTAATATTTAGTAAAATATTTTCTATTAAAATATTTTATTTTACATTTTAGTTTATAAAAGTTATATATTTATTTTCCTGCTTCAGAGTTGGGGATTATCGAAATAAGATATTTCATTTACAAAAATTTGACGTCCTATTTGAAGTATACCATTTTAATTGAACCGTAAAGAATCTATTATTCAAAATTTGAAATATTTTCTCTATGAATATTACTCAGCTCTGACCACGGCAAACCTCGAAAGCCTATTTCACCGAGAATGCTCGTTGAAAAGAGCCGCGTTTCCTAACAAGAACCGAACATGGCCCGGCATTGGTCGACCACGCTATCGCGAGCTACGCACCGACTCTAAATTAGTTTCCTCCAGTTCGTATTCCCCACGTGTCAGACCTCGAAGAACGATTCTAAGGGAAGGTCGTCGCTAGAACCAGCTATTTGGACGACACTGGCGGCGCTTCCGGTTCTAGACGTTATCTCTCGGCGGGCGTTCGATGCGCCGGAGCAACAGCCGCCGGGGAACGGAACACCTTCGACGGCCAGGTAAATCGTTCTCTCCTCGAGAGCTGCCTACGATTTCGCAAATTCCTGTTTGTCCTCGATAATCGATCGAGGCGAGCGGAGCCGGAAGAACCGGGGATGGAAAAACAGGCGTTAAGAGGTCGGATAATCGATTTCGATCGGGCGGTCAGAAAGAATCGCGTGTTCCAGCGCGCGGCGGCGGCTCGATTTACCGTGACGCGATTCGTTTCGAAAACTTCGGGCGTCGCGCGTTCTTTCCTCCCCGCGAAAACGCGAGCCCGCGAAGCCAGCAAAAATTTCTCTGCTCGGTTCCGAGTTATCGATACGACAAAGGGAAGCGTGGGAAACCCGCTCTCGACATGGCGCGCAACGACCCTGGACGAAGTGAAAGTCTCTCCTCATCTCTCGATCCCAAACCGATACACAGTGATCAATTATTGGGTTGGCAACTAAGTAATTGCCGATTTCAGTTATCGATGTCTCTCACTCCCATTTTTATGATATCCGTAAATGTTATATTATAAAATTATTATTATTATTATTATTATTATTATTATTATGTTCTTTTTTATTATCCGTGAATCAATCGTTTTCTCCAGCATTCGTCGGCCATCTTCGAACTATGCATCGACATCTATGTTAATTATCAAAAACGATGCCAAACGTTCGTTACATCTTGATTATTATTTCTCAGACATTAATTTTTATTACGTGCAATATTCTATGTGCAACTTGCTGTCGAAGAAAATGTTAGCAGACGCCTCAGTAATATTAATAAATAATTAATTGGAAGTGAAATAGTTGTTTCATTTTATTATAGTTTATTATTACTTTATTATATTGGGTTCGCAACTAAGTAATTGCCGATTTCAGTTATCGATGTCTCTCACTCCCATTTTTATGATATCCGTAAATGTTATATTATAAAATTATTATTATTATTATT